AGAAAGTTTCAAAATAAGGTTTTTGACTTTATATATAAAATTATTATAAATCTACTGTGACTTTCTGTAACTTAAAAAAAAAAAACATTTTGAAAAAAAATTACCAAAACATATATATATCTAAAAGTACTGTATGATTACACAAAAAAACTCTCAACCCTAATCCCGAACTTACCCTAAAATGTTCTCACACAAGAAGCAAACTGAAGTTTCTCTTTTTTTGGTTTAGGAGGTGGGTTACAAGATTATAGTTTATCAGTGAATCTAACTCCTATAGTTGAAAAAATTATGAAATTAGCAAGTTATATATCGAAACAAATTGAAGCTCTCATATCTAAATCTTAAATGCTGTTGGAGAGAAATTTACAAAGGGACAAGATTATCCTCATTATATCATTATCTACCAAGAAAAACCCACTCCTATGAAAACACAGTAAGTTCGAATCCCCCTTGTCAAAATGAACGTGTATAAATCATTAAGAGTGTAAAAATCCAGAGTTTTTACTGTTCTATTGGTATTAACCTATTTATCATAGCTGAGAAACATCCAGTCCATGATTCTGGTTTTACACCCATTCTAGATGAAGTCCACGTACAAGACCTAAATGTGCTGCACTAACCATACTACAAAATGCAACGGCTGCCTGAATAGTAGTATAAAATTGCAACCTTCTTTTCCTTTCTCTTTCATTTCTTTCCTTTTAAACAGGGAAATGGAATTGGAAGAGCAGAACAGAACACACTTTATTCCGGAAGATACAAGTGGCCACCCAGAGAACCCTCAATGGGATAGGTTCAATTTCCATGGTGGAGAGTCTTTTGGGGCAGTCTGCAATAGCATGGGGGATTGGAGTCAAAGGAATCCTTGACCATTGCTAAGGCACTCTCCCAAGAACTCTGGCTGCTGTTTTAGCTTCCACCTCACAATCTGTCAACAGCACTTATTCTTCTTTATTTGCACTTTCGTTCTTCTTTCTGCATGAAATTTAAACCTCCATTCCACTGGAGCTTTTTATGGATACTGCCTGAGAACATGTCATTTTTATTGGTGAGAACACCACAGTGAGTCGTGCATGATCAGAGAGAGAATAATTTTCAGGCCAGCTTCCTTTCTCCACTTCAGGAGGGAAAAGAACTGCATTCTCCACACTAAAACCAATAGTTTGCTCCTGAGCATCTTCCCTAACCCCATCTTGAACTTGGTCACTGAGTTCATCTAAACAAGAGTGTTTCCAAATCTGCTGCTGCAATGTCATGAATCCACAACATGAGCATCGGGACAGAACTGTCTATTGGGATAGACATTTATTCAAGTCAAAATATATTGTGAATTAATATCATATATGGATATACCAGCAAAATAAAGGATAAGCCACCTAGTAGGATTGATTTTCCAACATGGTTGTGCATGATTTATGTCATTCATGTCAAATCAACATGGTTCAATACATTATGGCCAAGAAAAAAAAAAAAAAAACACATGGTTCAATATATATGAACATAAAATGACATGATCATCCAGTTAGTTTTTGGCCATAACGCTGAAGCCAAAAAATTATGGTACCACCATAATATGAATTAAAGGATGGCCCCTGATTTTTCAAGTTACTTGGAAACAAGAACTAAGAAAAAGATCCTCTATAAAATTGTTACCTGAAATTCTTTATAGACAACAACTCCATTTCCATCAATGTCAGCTTGAACCCACAAGTCTTTCATCTCTTCCTCGCTAAGCCCATAGCAATGACCACTTAAATTAAGCTGCACAGTCACAGAACATTGGTAGGCTTAATTGCCCATTAGTTCTCCTTGGCAACAATCAAGGAAGGGAAACTAAGCTTGAGATATCAATTTGATGAAAATACTTGTACCTGCCGAAGAGCTTCACAGAAACCTGAGTAGGTAATATAATCACCATCACTGTCAGCCTTAAGAGATGCAAATGCATCTTCTTCTTTAAGTGAAGCCTTCCTCAGTAGATGCTTCAAATATGAAGGTTCAAACATTAGAGAAAAGATATTCAAGAAGGTTGTTTTGCTGTTTCCTAAGTTTGTACTTCATTTTCGGTCCAGTAGCTAATGGATTATATCAATTACATGTAAAAATAGAAAAAGAAGTCAGCCGTCTCTGCCAGTTCTTTGATCTGGCTCAAAGTGGACAGTGACCAGCGAAGCTTTTTAATCAGGCTTGCCTAAGGACAGGGTCGGGAGGATCATGTACATATTAAACTCACATGCTAAAACCTTGCTGAAAGGTAGAAGAGAATAAAAGTTAAGGCCTGTTCCTACTTTCTTAAGGCTTATTGGGTGTTGCTACTTGCACAAATATTAATTCAGAAGGTTCAGTAGTCAAGCTCAAGTGATGAGGTTCAGAGAAATAAAAAATAAAAATTCTTGACCAATAAAAAAGGGAAATACTCACCTTGAACATGCCAAATACTGCTTCACTCCAACTTGTCTTCAATAGTTTTCGATATTTGTTGGGATTAAGAAGCCATATGAAATCAACACCACATATATTTCCTCGATGATTGAGGTGACTAACCCACTGGAGGGAAGCATAAAAGAGATGAGAAAGGCAGTCAGAATTATAAGCTTATTTCAACTTTTCTGGAAAGAGGAATATAAAAGCCACAAAGATACTGACCTTCTGAGCATCTGCATCAGTGTAGTGATGAGCAGTGTCATATGATGACACAAAACCCTGTGACCTGAGGAACCAATAAACATGTCCTCGTTTGCTCCCATTCCAGTCACTGTAGGAAGTAGGCAAGATAATAAAAACAAATCAGTGTTGTTTGACCAGGGTAAGAAATTTCTCTAAACAGAATGGTTTGTAAGTATAAACTCACCCACAAAGTATGATCGGCATAGGATTAAGCTTGTATTCCTTCTGATAAGACTCCACATATTGTAAGATTTTGTAGACCTGCCAAAAAGATCACAGAACAGATAACCAAGTCAGTCATACACATTCAATAATCAAGTACTGTTAAGATATATATAAAGGAAATAACTACACGGAAAGTTGAATTTACCTGTAGTAATCGTACAATACACAGACTTGAATCGTGAGGAAATAACAAGTGGGTGTTTACAATGAGAATTTCTTGCCGAGTATCATAGCTTCGGCACTGTGAAAAGGAGGCAGTCATGTCCACATGTAATAACTGAGCAACTCGATCTCCACAGTCATTGAAATGCAACTCTCGGTAATTAATAACTCTAAAATAATCCTTGTGCACGGCAGTTAATAAACCTGTAAATTCCACCAGAAACAAATTAATTTGGAAGTAATTAGGCAATAATGGTTGCCGCTTGCTATCTACTAATAGGCAATTAATCAATATCGTATCATTGCTTGCACAAGATATGAAATAAATACTTTCCTTAACTAAGACCAAACACTGTCATTCCTCCTGCCTCAGTTGATCAATGCTTGACTTAATATTGCCATGATAAAACACCATCAATCAAAAGTAAAAATAGGAAAGCTCAATCAAGTACTGAGCTTGCTTTTAATGTCTGTCCCAGCACTCATAAAACTCCTAGTACCTTTTCATCTGTTAGGAAAACAAGACCCAACTTCCGACAGCATCATTAGAAACAGAAAGTCTGGTTTTTTGATAAAGCCTAGATTCCAATTGACCTTATCATTTCAACAACTACTCCTTTTTATTGCTTTTCTTTCCCCCACTCCTGAGTCCAACCCACTTTTTCCTTTTCCAACTTTTTCCTTTTCCAACTTTTTCCTTTTCCAAAACCACAAGCTCTCTCATACCGTGTCAAACAGATCAATCAATTAGGTATCAATAATTGTCAACTTCCTGGTTTTGGTAGCCAAATTGAAGACTAATAATTTTAAAAACAGCCTGTGGTTGGTGCGAAGTAAAACTTTGAGTGAGATTGCATAACCACCCCCATAGTGAATTCCTCAGTTTTACATTAATCCCAGACAAAGGAAAAGCATAGCAAATCAATTCAATTAAGAGAAAGACAGAAACAAAAAAAGAAAGAAGCATACATACCATCGCCACGGTTGTTGGTGCGGCCGAGCTTAAAAAGAAGATACCCAGCATCACCTAGTCTCTTCTCGTATAAACTAACAAGTTCTTCATTTCCTACCCAGAATTCCTACATTGATTTTCTTAAAACTGGTGAAAAGAGAGAGGTAAAACATTAATTTCAATGGAGTAGAAAACGAGAAGAGGAATTCGAACCTGAAGACAAATAATGGAAGATCTCTCGTGCAACAATGAATCCAAAATCCGGTGGTTCCTGGACAACCAATACGCCTTGTAATCGCTTTCCCGGCAACTCTCGTCCTGAGGAGAGAGACGCTTGTAGATTGGAGCAAGGATGTTGAAGGTGGTGCAGGTAATGCACGGTCGCCGGTGGTTATCTCTCATGGAAGACGCAATCGAGTAGTTTCCGATCCCTGTTACCCTCCCCTTCTTCTTCATCCACCTTTCCTTCCTCATTTCCCCGACGACGTTCAAAACCCAAATTCGGCGGTGGCTATTGATTTGGCGGAGTAGAATCCCGAATTTCTAGAAATATCAGGGACGCATGAGAGAGAAAGGAAAAGAAATTTTGTGAATTTCGAAACGAATTACGAGGAGTCGTGTCAGATGGAAAGAAAACCGGCTGTGGCTGCGGCGACGGTGTCTGTCCTTTGGACCGACGCCTCAGGCAGGCAGCAAAGAGAAACCACCACCACCACGACCGCCTCCTCCTTCCACGGCTCGAATACCGACAATATTCCCCTACTAAAACCTCGTGATTTTTCCTGTCTTAACATACGTGGCCGTCGTTCATAGTATTTTGCCAAGCTCCATGTGTTTCTGTTTATTTATTTATAGTAAGGCTGCCGCTACTCCTGGAATTAATTTTGAATTTTTTTTAAAAAAAATAAATAACTAAAGAAAAAGGATCTCACGTTGCTTACAAGTTACAACCATACGTCCGGCCGCTTGTTTCCCGCTTTTCCGTCCTGCGCCGAAAGTTGTGGTGGTGGGAGTAACTTTTCTGTTCCTCAGGGACCACTGACAGTGTGGAAATGGATGCCCATACTCAGGTTGAGGCGGACAGTGAAAGTCATTTAAAGCTTTCGATCTCCTCCAATCGGATTATTTTGTGGTAGAATAATTTCAATTAAAAAAATTGGTATTGAATTTCTTTTTTTTTTAACTGATTACAAATTTTGGGGCGGGCGATTCTAAGGCAGTGTTAGAGTTTGGGGTGCACTGTAACTGTACAGCGAGGTATATAACCATCGTATTGGTTCGTTTCGAACAGAGGAACAATTGTCGAGAAAATTTTTTTTAT